ACTGGCCAGGGGCTCCAAGGAACACAGCCACAGGGACTGGAGTTGAGGGGATGGAGTCATGGACCCCCAGTGGGCCTTTGCAGGGAAGGGGGTGTAGCCTGAGCACCAAAGAGCAGTAGATAGGGTCTAGGGCCCCAGGTCTCTGGGAGACCAATCACAGACGGTGAAAGATACTTGCTGGCTGAGGGTGTAGCCACAAAATCAGAGGTTGGAGTCAGGCCCAAGTGGCAAGTGCTGTCAGGAGCTCCAGGAGGTGGAGTCCCCAAACACCTGGGGACCACTAACAGGGTTAGAAGCATAGTCCCCAACGCCAGAAAAAGGAGTCAGAGCAACAGTGGGTGCGACCAGGGAAAAGCAGGGGACAAGAATCAGGAAGTTTCAGCGAAACTGACTCAGGAGTATGGCCAAACCAATAAAAGGTGATGTCAAAGTGGGGGACAAGGGATCCAGGGGACAGAGTTGAAAGCCCACCTAGTCACCCAGCCAATAACCAGGACCTGTGACATTGCTGGGACTTGGCTAGGCTTCACTGGACAGAGTCTATAGAGCTGAGCCAATAGCCACCTTCGGATGCGGGGTTAGTGGGTCTGGAGGCGTGGCCAAACACCAAGGGATGGCTCTTGACTCAAGATGGGGGCGTGACCAGACTCCAAGGGGTGGAGTCAGAGCCTCTGCCCTAGGGGCGGAGTCACAGAGACGCAGGGCGTGGCCTCACTCCGGGAGGGATTGGAGGTCCCAGCCCACAGGGTCTCCGGACCACTGGCTGCCCCCAACTGCCTTGCCTCCATTTCGGGGCTCACCGCTGTGTAGGTGACGGCATAGGCGCAAAGGGCAGCGTCCTTGCAGGGGAAGGCGCGGCGGGCAGCAGCCACCAGGCTGGGGCTGCCGGCGCAGGCACCCTGGTCAGTGACGAAACGGTCAGGCCCTGGCCGGTCTGGCGAGGGTGGCGGGCAGCCCAGGGCCGTGTAGTTGGGGCGGCACACGGACAGGAAGTGAGGCGTGGGATTGCCGGTCACCACCTGCCCCGCGTTAGCGAAGATGGTCGTGGTGAAGAGGCCAAAAGAGTAGACCCCTGGGGTAGAATGAGAGAGGGGTTCATGTCAGGGCCCAGCAGCTGTTCTCCTGTGAGCCCCCTTAAGGTCCATCTGGGTCCCTGTCTCCTTGTTCCTGTGACTGACATGAAAACACACTTCGCACTCCCCCTAGCACCATATTCCATAACAGTTGGGCCAGAGTCCCTTAGGATGTCATTCTGAGCCTCCTCTACCTGCCCCTGTTCTTGCTATTACTGAGCTGCTCATTTTTCTCCTGGAGGATCTTCAGCCCTCTGCCCCAGGGACCACCACTTCGGGTGAGCTCTGCCCTTCTACCCCAAGGCCAGCAACTGCGGCTGAGACCATATTTAGAGCACTGCCAGGGATCTCAGCCCACTGCCCCAAGGACCTCCTGTGCTTTTTCTGCCTGAGATTCTCCTTGTGGCAATTTGGGGCCCTCCTCTTAGAGTCGCCATCGTGGTTGGCTTAGGGCACACCCATATCTCTAGAACCTCCACTAGGCCTGCCCTCAGCCCAAATTCCTCTTGCCCCATGAAGTCACCATCATGGACATTCTAGGGACCTTTTCCCCCTGCAATTCTTATTATGGCTGAGCCTGGCCCATCTCCCTTTTGCACGGCTGACCCCTGACCAAGTCACTCACCCAGGAAGCGGACCAGCCTCCGCAGCGGGGGGCTGAAGCGGCAGCAGGCCCCAGACACGATGGTGCTCTCCCCAGTGATGGGGACGGCTGAGGGTGGTGCAGGGAAAAAGGCACGCGCCAGCTCCCCAAGCAGGATCTGTGGGCAAGACCAAGGTGTGGTCTTCTTGGCCTTCAAAAGCCAGTCCTCCGCCCACCACCCCCTGGCCCTCCTGCCTCCTGGAAGGCCCTTCCCATAGTCTGAGCCGGGTTACCACCAGTCTCACCGTGAGGGTGGGCCCAGCGGTGACCAGGGCGTAGATGAGGGCTGGGGGTGCTCTGCTGGTAGCCTCAGGCCCTGGGTAGGGCTTGGCATAGGTACTATCATAGCAGAAGAAGCCCTGGGTGTGCACAGGGAACGTGTCTGTGAACTCCAGGCGGTAGGCAAGCAGGACCACGATGCCCAGCAGTACCGACTGCCGTCCAGTCAGGGTAGGGAGAGAGATTGACAGAGAAGAGAGAGGAAAGAAAGGGTCAGGTCTGAATCAGAGCCATGGAGACAGAGACACAGAGATGGAGAAAGAGACAAGGAAGAGAGATACAGACAGAGATGAAGAGGAGAGGGTAGAGAGAATGGACTGGGAAGAGGGAGAGAGAACAGGGCCAGGGCTCAGAAAGTGAGTGTGGTGGAGGGACAGAGCAACAGAGAAAGAAAATTACTGGTAGAAATATTGGGCTGGCCAAAAAAAGTCATTTGGGTTTCTCCATAATGAATTTTTTGCACCAACCCAACACGAGCAGCCACAACAGGTGTAACTCTTCCTGTGGGCCGGTGTCATACTAAACCTTTTTCTAGAATTAATCCATTTTGTTTTCATAACAGCCCTAAGAGAGAGGGAGGGATGCCAATTGTGCCGATTTGCAGATGAGGAAACTGAGGCTTGGGAAGGCATGTGAGGTGCCCAGAGTTCCACAGTAAGGATGGGCAGAGGTGGGTTGGAACCCCAAGGAGTGCCACTTCAGAAGGTGCCTCCTCCCTCTTGAGGGTCTGGGCCAGGGAGGAACTGTGCTCCTCACCTCCACGAAGACAAAGCAGGGGATGATGGAAAAACTCCTCTTCAGCTGAGGTCTCCCTCCCGCCATGGTGACGGCTGGACCTGTGGAGGTGCAGAGGGAATGGGACCGCCAGGGGCGGGGCCTAGAGGGAGCCTCTGGTTATCTGTTCTTCGAGTCTTCTGGCCACACCCTGGCCCCCATCCCCGGCCCCTGCAACTACACTTGGCCCCACCCCCTAAGACTCGGGCCACAGGCTGTTCCCCCATCCCCGGCTCTACCAGCTACAGCCAAGGAGCCCCGGCCCCGCCCCCATGAGCCTTCTGGCCACGCCTCCACATACCCAGGTCTTTCCCCCATCCCAGCTTATTAGAGGCACCTGCCTCCACCGATACAAGCTGCTCAGCTCAGCCTCTGCTAGGGTCTCCACCGATTCTAGAGTGGTCCCCCACAGCCTGCACAGATTCTGGCCCCATGCCTTGAAGGGGGGCCTGTCTCCCTTAGCATGTGGGAACCCTCCCCTTGGCCTTCAGCAGAGTTATCCTGCTTAAAGGGAACCCCTCTTCTACAAAGAAGGTTCCTCACCCCCACTAGTTTTTAGGAGACCCCATACTCTTCCCCTACATGCTTTACAGGAAGCCCTATGCTCCCTGTTACCCACCTCCACCAGGCCCCTCCCTCCATACCACTTCCCCCAGAGCCCACAGGGGCCTCCCTCTCCTGTACCCATGGGCTGTGCCTGACTGGTTTGGGCTGATGGCCAGGCCCTCCCTCTCTCCCAGCTGCCTCTCCCTCTCTCCTTCCTTCCCCCTCCTCCCAGCCCGTCTGCCTCCCTGTATTATGAGAGAGGGCTATCTCCCCCTCCACCCACGCACCCTCCCCACCCCACCCCACCCCCCCCCGCCCCAGTCTAACCTCAGTCAGTCCCCAGCACTGAGAGGCCAACACAGTCACACCTGCTTGACCCATTCTCCCAGCCAGACCTCACCTGTGATCGGGCCCTATGGCTTCGCGCAGGCTGCTGCCACGCCCACAGACTCACAGCCGCTCCTGGCAGCCAGCAGGGCAGGGATGGTCACCCCCATTGCCCAGATGAGGAAACTGAGGCCCAGACAGGCAGGGGTAGGCACTCTGGGTCCAGTGCCCCATCCACGTGGCTTGCTCTGTAACATTACACGTGGGGTGAGGGTCACACCAGAGATCCCAGAGGCCCGAGGTGCCTACCCAGCCATGGCCCCCTCACTCTCACAGAGACACAGACACACATCGGCACCCCGCCCAGAGTACACAACTCAGCCAAAGCTTCCATCCCAACCACCCCCCAACACACACACACACACACACATATCCAGTCGAACAGCATTCGTTCATCCCACCAACAAGGATGAAGGGCCTGCGAGGTTCCAGGCAATGCACTGCGTGTCAGCCTTGTGATGAACAAGATGGGCTCGCTCATTCAGACAGGTGCCCAACACCCACTACACACAAGTGCACTTTCACACAGCACGGTGTGCACACGGCCTGTCACAGACACCCACGCAGATCAGACAAATCCCCTGCCCCCAACACACACAGTCACTGGGACACAACAGGAGGTCCTTCACACACCTCATGGCCCCACATACAGCCCCACTCCACCCCCATCAGGGTCAGAGACTCAAGGCTGCCAATACACTTAAGAGTCACATCAAAAAAAGTCACCACACACGGGGGGGGGGGGTCACAGAACTGGTCACAGTGTCACGCCCCCAATTACAAGGCACAGAATGACACATATTAAGTCTTGGGTCCACCTTGACAGTCAGAGAAGAGCCCTGCCATCCACAGCCACATCCACACGGCCACACAAGGGCACATACGTGGACTGTGGCATAGACTTGCACACAGACACATAAGAAAGGCACACGATCAGTCACATAATAATGGACCCCCACACACCATCAGAAAAAACACACAACAGCCACACAATGACAATCCCATGCATACAACCATACAGACACCGAGACAGCCACACAGTCACTGTGAGAACAGTCACACGGCCACTCAAAGGCGGCCACAGCAATACGACCACCACACAGTCACCATCAGAGTGATACCCACGGCGACAATCACACAAAGACAGCCACGGGAGACACAGTCACACAGCCACCACACGGACACATAACGACAACCGCCCAGTCACCGTCAGCCTCACCGGGGTCCTGTCTCCATCCACCCCTCCCCTAGCTGGGTCCCCAAGCCTCAGCTGGCAGCCTCCCCTCCCCCTGCCCGCGATGGACCCGCAGGGGACCCGACCCACACGAACCGAACCCTGGCCAGACAGACACAACGAGGGCCGGAAGCCGGCGAGAAGAGGTACAGGCGGCGCCCCGAGGCCCTCCCCCTCACCGGGTCGACACTACCGCTGCCTGAGCCCTGGCTCCACCTAGACGGCCCCGGCGCGGCGGGACGGACAGACAAACCGACCGCCAGCCAGCGGGCGAACGCGGAGATGGAGACGCGGTCGGCCGGCCCGGCCGCGCCGCGCAGTCTCCGCGCCGGAGGGAGGGGCGGGGCCTCCGGGACATTATTTGCATAACCCGTGAGGCGGGGCCTCGCGATGTCTCATTAGCGTGATCGGGGCGGGGCCCCACTTGCTTTGGGGGGCGATCCACGAGGGAACGAAGACGCGGTTAAAAGGTGGGTGCTGGTGGCTGCTGAGAGGAAGAGGGTGGGAAGACGAGACCCTCCCTCTCTGAGCCTCAGTTTCCCCATTTGGCGGTAGGGACAGCAGGCAGGATCGCCAGGGTACCCCAGAAAGGAAGAATGGTGGCTAGTGGGGAAGAGACTGCCTGGTCACTCAGTATCTGGACAGACTGACTTCTGACCTGTCATATACTAAATCCAGCCTCACACCATCCCCTGACTCTAGACCCACATATCCTGTTCAGCCCCTTGGTCTCCACATCTTGCCCAAGACTGGGTAGTAAATTGAAGGGGTCACTCGCAGGCCCAGGAAGAAGCAGGAGCAACAGTTCACAGGCGGAGGAGGGTCTCAGCTAGTTTATTTTCTTTCTGGAGGAGTCTTCAAGGGAGAGCAGTCCCAGCTGCTCAGGCTGTGGAGAGAGAGGGTGGGTCAGAACCTGGCTTGGTCCAAGGGACCCCAGGCGTGGAGGTCAGGGAGCAGATATCCAGGTTGGGAATTGGGGGTGGTGCCCAGGCTCTGCGATTCCAGGGCAGGCCAGAAGGGGAAGGGAAAGGTGTGTTGGGGAGGGGAGGATCCGCACCAGGTGGGAAGGAGCTGCGGCTCTTGCTGAGCAGTAGCTGGGGAGGGCCCTGGTCCGTGTCTGAGTCCGAGTCCCAGCAGGGGAGAGGAGGGCTCAGGCATCTGTGTCCCTTATAGCCTGCAGGAGGGACATGTGCAATTCTGTCATGAAACCTGAATGTGACCCTTGAGTGGTCTGTGAATATGAGCCCAGTACCCTTGATAGAATGTGATCCTCGATCATGTCCCTTGAATGTGACCCAACATGACCCCAAACTATGATCTCAATCGATGACACATGAATTTTACCCCATTCGTGTGTGTGTGTGTGCGTGCTAAGTTGCTTCAATCATGCCCGACTCTGTGCAACCCTATGGACTGTAGCCTGCCAGGCTCCTCTGCCCTTGGAATTCTCCAGGCAAGAATACTGGAGTGGGTTGCCATGCCCTCCTGCAGTGGACCTTCCTGACCCAAGGACCCAACCCATGTCTTATGTCTCCTGCATTGGCAGGCAGGTTCTTTACCACTAGTGCCAGTTGGGGAGTCCCAAATTTTATCCCACTGACCCTTAAAAAAGATCAGTGACCCTGGGTGACCGTTGGATGAAACCTCCAGGGACTCTCTAATGTCACTCCAGAACATTATTTAATGTGACCACAGAATAAGACCCAACAGACGACTTCCCTGGTGGTCCAGGGGTTAAGAATCTGCCTGCCAATGCAGGGGACACGGGTTCCTTCCTTGGCTTGGGAAGATCCCACATGCCATGGGGCAACTAAGCCCATGCACCACATCTGCTGATCCTGTGCTCTGGAGTGCCCAAGATACATCTACTGAGCCCATGCTCTGCAACACGAGAAACCACCTCAATAAGAAGCCTATGCACAGCAACAAGAGGGTAACCCCTGCTGCCATAACTTGAGAAAGCCCGCGCGCAGCCATGAAGACCCAACATAGCCGAAAATAAATAAATAACTAACGGGGGGGAACCCCAACAGATGTGACCCCCAAATATGGCTTCTGAATGTGACCTCCATGTGTGAAGCTGGAGAATGATCTCCACCCCCAACCCTGGAGTGCTGCTCAGCCCCCCTCACCCCTGAGGTTTGCGGCCCTAGGGCGGCCCCCTGAGGATATGGCGAGGCCATCAAAGGAGTTCTGTAGCACATGCACAGCGGACCTGTGGGAAGATGGCAATCTGTGGGCCCTCGAGGGAACTCTGGACTGCTCCAGGGCTGGGGCAGGGGGACTGTGGTCGGGGAGGGGTGGAGATGAGTCCCCGGAGGAGAGGGAGACCTGGACTCAGGTGGGTTCCAGGTTCTGGTGGTCACTGCTCGATCTGATTGGGAGGAGAGGGCAGGGCAGATGAAGGTCAGGGGTCAGAGGTTACAGTGGGAGCTCATCACCATATGTCACCCAGCTCCTTTTGGAGGTTATCCCTCCAGGAACCACTGCATCCTGGTAGCAACTCCTCAGTCTCTAGCCAGCTGGCTGTCTCGTACCCTTGCTGCTTCATCTTGGTCAGGACCTGAGGTCAGGAAGGGATGGGGAAACGATAATAATAATAATAATGGTGAAAGGTGTGATATAGCATTTATTACATACCAGGATGCCTTTAAAGAGCTTATCCCTCAGTTAATGCAGCTACTCAGTCAGGCAGGGCTATGTTGTTACATCCGTTATACAGATGAAGAAACTGAGGCTCAAGGAGGGGAAGTGACTTGATCACAATCACACAGCAGTAAGTAGCAAAACTGAGATTTGAACCCAAGCCTTCTGGCTGCAGTATGATGGTAGAGGCCAACAGAGATCCCCATACCCCAACGCACACAATGTTCCCTTCCCACCCCATGCTGCTCTGCTCACCTTGCGGCACTTCACCTGTGTCTTCTGCATCTTCTGAATGTTCACCAGGTTCTCCGTGATCTCCTGTTCCTGTGCCTCTGTAGGGGGAGGGGACTTAAAGGGGCCGAAGCTGTAGAAGGACGTCCACCCTGCCCTCCCGGCCATGGGCTTTGGGCACTCACGGAGCTTCTGATAAATGAAGGTCACCTCCTCTCGTACCAGCTCCAGCTCCTCCCATAGGAACTTCTTGCTGAGGAGACAGGGCAGCCTCTGGCCTCCCGTATCCTGGCCTCCTGCTTTCCCATTTGCCCACCTGCCTCCCCCAAGCCACTTCCACCTTCCATGTTTCCATCTGTTCAACTACCATCCCCCAGAGGCTTGTCCCCTCCCCCCACCTGCCTACCCACCTTTCCCCTTCTACTACTATTCCCCCACCTCCTACCCCTCCCCTACCCCCACCCCTCCTCCCCTTCTGACCTTCAGCCTCCTATTCCCTCAGGCCCCCATTTCCTGGCTTCCAGTTCCCCATCTGGCGCCCTTGACCTCCCATACCCCAACTCTGCCCCTTCTCCACCACCTCTCCCCTCCAGTTTCCCATCTCACCCATGCCAGCTTTCTGATCCCCTGAGCTCCCTTCCCATCCCTGTCTCCCCTTCCTCTGGCCTCCCAGTTTCCCACACCGCCCCACTGCCTCCTGCCTCCTCCATCCCCTCCTCTTGTCCCCCAAGTTTCCATGGCCCTCCAGACTCCCTTACTCATTTCCCTTCCCATTTCCCCCATCCCACCTGTGGCCCCTTCTCCCTGGCCTCCCTTCTTTCCTGAAGCAACCTCCAGGCAACCCTCCTGGCAACACCCACCTGTCCCGGATCTCCTGGGCCAGCAGCTGCAGGCAGCGGGTGGTGCGGGCCCACTGCACCTCCTCGTTGTCATGCAGGGTCTTCTGCAGCCCCTGGAGGCCTTGAGCCAGGGCCTCATACAGCTCCTGCCGTCCCTCCACCACATCCCACTTGTGCCCCTCCTTGCCTCCCTGGTGGCTCGCGGGGCCCAGCACCTCTACAGAGATGGTGGGAACTTGCCTGAGCCCCACCCACAGCCCTGAGCCTAGCTTTGAACACAACTTGCCCTAACCCTCACCAGACCCTGGCCTGAAACCCAAACTCATCCAGTTTTTCCCACCCTGGACTGTCCTGGCTGACCTTGACAGGGCCAGCCTCCAGCCTTACCTCGACCCTTGGCCAGTTCTCACCTTCCAGCTGTTGGATCTTGATTTGCTGCAGGCAGCTCTCCTTCTCCAACAGGGTCACTGAGTGGTTTAGGAACTCGAAAGCCTGGGCCAAGAGGTCAGGCCTAGGGGTAGGAGCAGGGGTAAAGTGGGAGGGGATGGAGACAATTGCTGGGGGTGGGGCCAAGGTGGCTCACCTTGGTCTGGGCCTGTAACTGATACTTGAGTGACTCCAGTTCACATCTCAGAAGCTTCTGGCAGTCAGGAATCATTGTGGTGGACTTAACTGTGAGCAGAGGTGAGGGTCAGCCAAGGCCGGGAAGGGTGCAGGTGGGGGCAAGGTCAGGGCAGAGGTCAGTAGAGGTTCAGGGTGGGGGGAATGAGGCAGGGGCAAGGTAAGGAGCTGGGGTAGGCTGAGGCAGAGGGAGAAGGAGTAGGGGTCAAGGTCAGAGACAAGGATGAAGGGCAAGGTCATGGGCAAGGGTCAGCTGATGACGGGACAGGGATGAATGGGCAGCAATGGTGCAGGTCCAGTGAGGAAGGGGCAGAAAGTGGAGGTAGGAACTGGTGGGTCTTCTACCCACAGTCTTGTTGGGTGGAAGATTCTCACCTTTGGTTTTGGAACAGCTGGTCTCCAAGGGCTTCTAGAGAAGAGGAACATGAGGGCAGTAGAAATTTGCCCCTGGGCTGCATCCTTGCTCACCCTAACCCCGGGTGTGGGGGTTAGACATGATTTGGGTCTGCTGAGTTCTGGGTGGCCTAGACCCCCGAGGGCAGGAAAAGCTGCCTCCAGGCATATGCATGCACCCCCAACCCCACCTCACCTCTGCCCCAGCCTGAACACGCTCAGAAGTGCATCTTTGTGGCAGGCATGGGGGCTGCCCCTGAGAACACACAGCTTCAGAGCCCTCACTCCGGCTTGGACTCAGGTAGTGGCCCTCTTCTTTAGAGGCAAACGGCATCAACAACGTCTGCAAGGAGCACCAGCAACCCCTGATGCACCACCACACACGGTCATCGAAACACAACCATAGACACACAACCTCAGACACAGAGATGCATGCTAAGTCATAAGACCCAGGGCACATGCTCACGCCCATCTCAGACATACAACCACAGTCACAGACACACAGGCAGTCACACCCAGAGACAATCACAGACAGAACCTCATTAAGACACATAACGGGCTTCCCCAGTGCTCAGACGATCAAGAATCTGCCTGCAATGCAGGAGACCTGGGTTCGATCCCTGGGTCAGGAAGATCCCCTGGAGAAGGCAATGCTAACCCACTCCAGTATTCTTGCCTGGAGAATCCCATGGACACAGGAGTCTGGTGAGCTACAGTCCATGGGGTCACAAAGAGTCAGACAGGACTAAGCAACTAACGCTTTCACTTTCACAAGACACACAATGGGGCATCCACTACATTCATTCAAGTCATTTTTAGTGCAGGCCTGGCTGAGCACTGGGCGCTCTTCTGGGTGCTGAAGACATAGGGCGTGAGGGTTCTCAAGAACTCCCTGCCCCACAGCCCCCACCCGAAGCCCTGCAGCAGTAGACTGAGGTGTGGCAGGAAGGGGTTTCCCAGGTGGGGTAGACCTTAGTGTTGCCGTTATGGCTCTTCGGAAGATCCTGGTCATTACACGGCTCCTGTGAGTCTGAGCAAGGGGTGGAGGGAGACCCATGTGACTGACACCCTGTGTCTCTCCCTGGCCTCCAAGCTTCAGCTGTCACTCTATTTTCAGGTGCAGTTGGCTGTGAGGTCTCTGGCTCTGGGTTCTTGGACCAGTGAAATGCATATTCCGAGGTCTTTTCTGAGGAAGTGCCTGGGAAGAGGGATGGGTGGTGAAGGTTTCCTGAGAGCCAGCCCACAGCATGCCAGCCCCCCAGCCCCAGGCTACTCCCTCAACGAACCACAGCACTTGTCACACTTCTTGTGAGCAGGCGAACACGAACCACAGCACTTGTCACACTTCTTGTGAGCAGGTGAACACGAACCACAGCACTTGTCACACTTCTTGTGAGCAGGAGAACACACGTTGGAGGATGAGGGAAGTGAGCGGTAGCAAGGCACGGAGTACTCAGGGTCCAGGGGTAGGCCAGCCAGAAGAGGGTTGCTTTGAGTAGGGGGGACAGAGGGCTGCACTGAGACCAGCTCCTGGGTCCTGACAGCCCCAGGCCCTCCCTGACACCCCAGAGTGGCCGCAGCCCTCAACACAGGCTTCTTAGTTATAGTAGGAGCCAGAGCTGGGTGAAAGATGATCCTAGCCCCAGGGGTTGGACTGGACAGTGAGAAGAACCCAGAAGTTCCCACAGAAGGAACTGAGGTCTGAGATAAGCCTAAAAGGAAAAAAAAGATCTTAACACTGGCCCTAAAGGAAGGACATCCCTGGCAGGAAACAGCATGTGCCAAAGCTTAGAGGTCTATCTGTGCTCCCGATGCAGGGAGTCGAGGTTCAATCTCTGGTCAGGAGGCCTGGATTTGATCCCTGGTCAGAAAACTAGATTCCACAAGCCCACAACTAAAGATCTCAAATGATGCAACTAAGATCCAGTGCAATTAAGTAAATATATATATATATATATATATATATTTTTTTTTTAAAGTTTGGAGGTCTGGAACCAGGTGCTCTGTGCTGATAAAGTCAGGGTGGCTGGAGGCAGAGGTCCAGGAGGAAGCAGCAGGAGGTTGACAGGACAGCTCAGACAAGTCAGGGCAAGCCAAGCAGGCGAGTTGGGAACTGGCTCCCCAGTAAATGAGAGCCATAGAATGTGAGAAAGAGGGGCACAGCATATCCACTGAACAAATGGTAGCTGAACTGAGGCCCAGGCCTGCACTAGGTAAGGCTGGGAACAGGAAAGGGCTAATTTCTGGGTCTCACATACATACCCCCTGCCCTTCCAGTGTAGTGAGGGCTGGCACAGCTGGAGAAACCTGGGACAGGTCTGCCTGGAAAAACCTCCAGGTGAAGGGCATCTTGCCATGGATCACACTCAGCCAGAAAGGCCACAGTATAGGGCTTTCTCTTCTTTTGTCCTTTCTGGACCCTCTGGTATCCTTCCCCTAGCCCAGTCCTCCTGGAAGACTCCTATATACCCTTAAAACCTTACTCAGTATCACCTCTGTAAAATCTTCCTTAATCCCTTTTTAAGCTCATATTTTCTGAACATTTTGCTGAGTGCTGGGCGCCACCATAAGCCCTCACTGGGTTTTCACACCCACCATAATAACTTGCAAGGGTCATTATTCTTCCTGAACTGTTCTAAGCTACCCCTTCAAAAGTTACTGCCTCAAGGAGGTCCTCACTGCCAGAAGCAGTACAGCATGATGTTGTTTTGTTTTTTTTTTCCAGCATGATGATTAAGCAAAAGACCCTCCAGTTGGATGGCCGGTGTTCAAATCCTAGTTTTGTCCCCTTCCCAGCTGTGTGATGTTGGGATAATTATGAAACCTCTCCAAGCCTCAGTGTCCCCAACTATAAAAATGGGATATCATACTACCTACTTTACTGGGTTATTGTGATTAAGTAAATTAATCCATACCAGTGCCTGATATACAATAACGGGAACTCAGTGTTTGTCTTTGAAAATTACACTGAGGACTTAGTACTTTGGAATCATAGGAGCCCTGGGAGACCTGGGAGAGGAAAAGGCAGGATGCATTTCTGAGTGACAATTGCAGGCAGGACACCAGGTCGATCCCCACCCCAACCCGCCTCCAACATCACCTGTTTCTCCCTCAGTCACTCTCGATAGAATTCTTGGAGGAAGGGGGCGGGGTCATTTGCCTGGGCCCCGCCCCCGGGGCCTTGAATCCCGCGCCCGCCAGGCTTCCGACCCCCTTCCACCCCCACCTACCACATACCACCTGCTCATGCTCTCCCATTGGGGACCGCGAAGCCAGTCCCCAGCTGTGACGCTGAAATTTGATCCCGTGGGGACACCATCCCATTAAAACGCGAGGAGCCCAAAGGTAGAGTCACAGAGAGGGGTGTGGCTGACAGTTTAGCTCCGCCCCCGCCGATGCAGCCGAAGGCTTCATTGGCGCCTTTCCGCTTCCGCAGCTCCTAGGATCCGCGGTGTAATTGGATGAGAGTCCGAAGACTGGGCGGGATCTCAGGCTTGGTTTACGCTCATCGATTGGTCAATATTTAAGAGGGCGGTACAGGAGATACAGATCTCCGATCCGATTGGCTTCTGGCTTAGCTGGGAGGCGGGACGAATCCTTGGTCCCACGAGGGGAGGTAGCTGAGGAGGTCCGCGGGCCACCCCGGAGCGCGGGAGTGAGGTACCGAGCCCAGCAAGCCTGACACCCTAGATCCAGCCCGGGACTCCTGGGTGCTGTGGGTCGAGGTCCGGGTCCACTGTTGGGGTCGGTGTCCTCCGGATGAGATTTGGGGTGTTCCAGGATTAGAACGCGTCTCTGGGAGGTGCTTCGGGAATGTTCTTAGCGATATCTGGCATCCTGTCATGAAAAGAGTGGTCTTTAATGTTAGAAGTGGGTCCCTGGGGTGATATTTGGGAGTCACTGGGGTGATCTCTAAATATCTAGGGCTGCAAGCTTGAGCTGCTGGAGCTGAAATTTGGGGGTCTCAGAGGTGGCATGGATGTTGGGGTCCAGAGACCCTAAGATCTTGGGGGCTGACATTTGGAGAGGTAGGGTCGGGGATGTCACAACTGTTTTGGGTCTTCCCCACCCCATTCCTGGGCTGCTATCCAGGTATCTCTGCTGGATAGACCATGACCCTGGCCTTGTGCAGGCTCACAGGGTCTGAAGGCCACAGGGCAAAGATAAATCTCTGACTTACCTGGTGCCTCCTTCTCAGGCCTGAAAATGGAGGAAGGCGGGAATCCAGGAAGCTTGACTAAAGTGGTCCATCTCCTGGTCTTGTCAGGGGCCTGGGGCATGCAAATGTGGGTGACCTTCATCTCAGGTAGGGATCATCGGCCTGGACACCATGGATGCCCGCGGTGGGGACAGGGATGAGAGAGGGTCCTTGGACGTGTCCTAAAACTGGCCCCTGCACCCCACAGGCTTTGTGCTTTTCCGAGGCCTTCCCCGACATACCTTCGGTCTGGTGCAGAGCAAACTCTTCCCTTTCTACTTTCACATCTCCATGGGCTGTGCCTTCGTCAACCTCTGCATCTTGGCTTCACAGTGTGCCTGGGCTCAGCTCACATTCTGGGAAGCCAGCCAGGTATGCGGGCTTGGGCTCCACTACCCTCTGGACATTCATTCCCAGGACCACACTGAGCACCTATGATACCTTTGTGACAATTAAAACAAAACCCCCCAAACCACCCCGCCTTCCTTGTGTACACAGAGTTGGGCTTTGGATACCCTTGAGCAGTGCACAGCCTGCACAACCATCCCCAGCAGCCCTGTCTATTCCCCCAGTGTCTGTCTGCTGGCTGTTGCTCCATCTCCTCCTGGACTGGGCCTGCAGCCAAGCTGTGGTGACTCAGCTGGGCTGAGGCAATGACCCCAGCTCATTGTTTAAAAACTAGCCTGACTGGGGATTTACAGTCCCCCACCCCCATCCCCGGAGAAGGAAATGGCATCCCACTCCAATATTCTTGCCTGGGAAATCCCATGGACAGAGGAGCCTCGTGGGCTACAGTCTATGGGGTTGCAAAAGAGTCAGACACGACTTAGCGACTAAACAACAGCAACAACAACCCCCATCCACACATTTTACCCAGCCACAAGTCAAGGAGCCATCTCTGCGTCTCGTGTTTCTCTATCCTGCCCTCCCCCGACCCCATTATGTCCCTCAGATGTGAGCAGGTAAGGCCTGAAAGGGGTTTCGATAACCTCACAGACACATGAGGGATTATGGGTAACTGGAACTTCGGGGGCCTTTAATTCTTCCCCTGTGGGCCCAATGTCAGCTTCTAGGGGCTAGACTGGGGCCACAGAGGAGATAGGCCCTGTCTTAGGCTCTTTGGGGAAATGAGGGGACAGTTACCATGGTGCTCTGTCCCAACTCAGGGAAGAGAGGCTCTGCCCATCCTTAGTTCTGGGGAACAGTTGGGTAGGAGACAGGCTGTGTTCTGGAAAGTTCCCGTCAGTGTATCAGAAGAGAAGCAGCTCAGGAATTTGGGGGAGAGAGGAGACAGTGGTGGAGCCTTTCCTTAGGAACTGCGGGTCTCAGGATATGAGAGCTGGAGCTCTGTTTGGGTTTGGGGATGGAGCGGGGAGGCCTGGCTTTGACCCTATCCTGCCTCCCATTCCCCTCTGGCCTTTGAGGATGCACAAGGGCATGCCCTGGGGCCCCTCCTGCCTCCCAGGCGTGGCTCACCTTGTCCCCCCCTGCCCCACCAGCTCTTCTTGCTGCTCCTGAGCCTCACGCTGGCCGCCGTCAATGCCCGCTGGCTGGAGTCCCGCACCACGGCCGCCATGTGGGCCCTGCAGACTGTGGAGAAGCAGCGGGGACTGGGCGGGGAGGTGCCAGGCAGTCACCAGGGCTCTGACCCCTACCACCAGCTGCGGGGTCAGGACCCCAAGTACAGCGCCCTCCGCCAGCAGTTCTTCCGCTACCACGGCCTGTCCTCCCTTTGCAATCTGGGCTGCCTCCTGAGCAATGGTCTTCATCTGGCAGGCCTCGCCCTGGCCCTCCACAACCTCTAGCTCCCACTGACTCTCTGTCTCTGCTGGGGTCCCGGAAGTCAATAAACGCTTCTTCGGAAATGACTGGAAATGACTGCCGTCGTCTTTCTTCAACTGGGAAGCAAGGAAGGGGCGGGGCAGGCAAGGGTTGTTGCTGTTGTTTAGTCACTCAGTTGTGTCCTACTCTTTTTCGGCCCCATGGACTGTTGCCCACCAGGCTCCTCTGTCCATGGGATTTCCCAGGCAAAGAATGCTGGAGTGGGTTGTCATTTCCTTCTCCAGGGGATCTTCTCAACCCAGGGATCGAACCTGCATCTCCTGCCTTGGTAGGTTGACTCTTTACCACTGAGCCACCAGGGAAGCCCTTGTAGGCAAGGATAGAGCTGAAGAATTCCGTTTTCCCATTCATGTGGCATACTAATTCAGAGTGTGGGATGTTGCAGCCCCTAAGCTCGCCCTACAGTGGTGCCATTTTTGAGCACCTGCTGTGTGCCAGGCATGGTGCTAACCATTACACATATCATGTATTATGGTAACAACAGCTGGTACTGATCCCTAGAGGACAATTGTACTTTTTCACCTCACTGCCATTGGGAATGGCCATGTGACTTGCTTTGGCCAATGAAATGTGAGCCAAGTCACTTTTGAGAAGAAGTATACAAGCCAGTGCCTATTCACCACATCTTCCCCTGTTTGTAGTGATCAATGTGAGTGAGAAGCAAACCTTGGATATAAGGGATTTGTGAACACAGTAGGGGAAGGAAAGAGTGGGACAAAGGGAGAAGGTAGCACTGACCTATATACACTACCATGTATAAAATAGATAGCTGGTGAAGAGTTGCTATATAACACAGGGAGCTCATCCTGGCACTCTCTGATACCTAGAGGGGTGGACTGGGGGAGGGGAGGGAGGTGATGTATGTAACCATGGCTGATTTGGGGTGTTGTATGGCAGAAACCAGAGCCTGGTGGGCTGCTGTTTATGGGGTCACACAGAGTCAGACACGACTGAAGTGACTTGGCAGCAGCAGCATGGCAGAAACCAACACAACATCATAAAGCAATTTTTCTCCAATTTAAAAAAACAAAAGGAAGCAAACCTTGGATGTTGGGTGCCATGGTGACTGTGAGGCTGCTTGTTAGCATATACCAGCACTTCCTGACTGACACACATCTCATTTCATCCACACTAGCCCTTGGAGGTGGCTAACATTGTTCCCAGAGGCAATGGGGGCTCAGTGAAGTTCAGCAAGTGGCTTCAGGTGCAGTTGTTTGAATTAGGACCCCAGCAAAGCCTGAACTTTAAAATTTTTTGGTTTAAAAATTTTTTTGGCCACATGACATGTGGGCCCTTAGTTCCCTGAGCAGGGGATCAAACCCATGCCCCCTGAAGTGGAAGCATGGCGTCTTAACTACCGGGCCGCCAGGGAAATCCTACGCCTGAAATACTAGAAATGCAGATTCTCTGCTGTCTGCCTGAAGAGAAAAACCACAGTTGGGCCTGGATGTCAAATTTTGTGGCCTCAGGTCAGGGCCTGCCCATCTTTGATTTCCAATTTCTTTATCTGTAAAAGGAGGGGGTTAACTCCTCAGGGTATTTGGAAAAGGTGTCTAGCCCAGTTTAGGGTCAGGCGCTGCACTTTACAAACAACAAACTCATATCAGAACCCTTACCCAACCCTGTGAAGTGGGGACCCTCGTTAACTACCGACCACATGATGGATAGGGAAAATGAGACCCGCGGAGGTTAACATGTCCAAAGCGACAAGGACTGGAAGTGGTGGAGCTGAGATTCGAACCTGGCTCCAGAGTCCGTGCTGTTAGCTGCGGTGCACATGTAGGAACTCCACGTCTGGTTGGTTGAAACGAAATGTTTATTGGCAAGGAACAGACCGCTAGCTGCGCGCTTGGAGATACTTCCAGCCCCTCCCCCGCCCCACTCCGCCCCCGGCCCGGCCCCACAAGCCCCGCCCCGGTTCCTCCCCGCTTCCCCAGGAGCGGCCCCTCCTCCCGCTTAGGGGCGGGGCCGGCGCGGGATCCGGGTGGCTGCTGGCCGCGGCGGCGGTGGCGTCTGCGACTGCAGGGTCTGGGTCGCAACCAGGGCCAGGTCGCAGAGAGTTCGGAGGCAGAACCCTCGCGACCAGCGTCCCCCCGCAACGCGAAGTGACTCCCTCGGAGGGAGAGCACTCCAGCTCGCGCCTCCGCGTCCCAGCAGGTCTCAGGGGGAATTGGGGCTTAGCGGGGGAGGGCCGGGGGCCTGGGGAACAAAGGCAGGCGGCGGGGGACGCCTCTTCCCTCGCCCCGACCCAGCTGGGCTCATCGGGATCGTTAATGGGGCGCGGGCGGGGCAGACAGCCCAGCTGGGGACAGGAGATGTGACCATATGGTGATGGGAGGAAGCTCGGAGCACCCCAGCACTGGCTGGGGCGCCCCACATCAGGTGACGAGGGGGTCAGGACAGAGCCCTCTGGGGTCCCTTACCTCGTGCCTGGCCTGAGGGAGAGTCACCAGATGGTCAGATAAGAGGTGGGACCGGCTGACAGGTGGGCTGAGGGTGGGGTGGAGTTGGGGCCCCATCCTGGCCGCCCTGCCTAGCATGGGGAAAGCCTTCCTGCCTCTTCCCTTCCCCTCCTCAAACTCGTTCTCCCGGAACACGGGGTGGGGCAGAGGGCTGGGCAGGAAAGGCGGGCGGCTGGGTCCTCCTTTTTAACCTGGATAAGAGCCCCAGGGGGTAGTTGAGAAATAGCTTTGCCAGCGGTGCCTCGCCTGGTTACCCCCCATTCACCCGGGCCTTCTGGGGCCTCCCTGTGAGGCTCAGGGAGCAGCCGTGACAGCTAGGAAAATAGGCCTCTGCAGGGACTGAGGGGGTGAGTGGCCCCAGATGAAGCAGCCTTATCTGTGGGGACAGGTTGACAGGAAAGGCCCATCCAGGTGGTCAGGGTGGTGGCTGAGGTGGGTGGTTTCCTCGGATTGGAAGACCATCTTTCTGGCCTCCGTGGCCTGACGCTGGGCTGGGGTGAGTCAGCCTTCCTGGGAGGCAGATGGGCCCAGCCCCTTTGACAAACAGAAGGTGGCAGGACCCATTTGGGGGTAGAGCTGGGCATTAAACCCTGGGGTGTATCCACTGAAAGCCCCCTCCCCATGGGCGTCAGGGAAGGACTTAAAGTTGGCCTGAGTAGGGGCGGGCAGGTGGCTAACACCTGCCAAAGTCAACACCCAGGCCCTGGGTGGTGGTGGGGGGGATCTATCCAGCTGACAGCCCCAGCTCCCCCCAGCTCACACTTGGAGCACGCCAGCTGCTCACCCTGAGGCAGAGTCCACATCTGCACCTTCCGAAGGTTCTGGTTCCTCAGCAGACCCTTGCATTTGGCAGACATCCCCATTTTCTAGGTGAGGACGCTGAGGCCCCACAAGGGCAAGTGACGCATCCAGGATCACTGGACTTCCAAGTGGCAGAGCCAGCATTTGAGCCCAGGTCCGGTACATGGGCTTCCCAGGTGGCTTTGTGGTAAAGAAACTGCCTGCTGATGAAGGAGACCTGAGGTTGGGAAGATTCCTTGGAGGAAGAAATGGCAACCCACTCTGGTATTCTTGCCTGGAAGATCCTATGGACAGAAGAGCCTGGCAGGCTACCGTCCATGGAGTCGCAGAGTTGGACACGACTTAGCGACTAAAACAACAACCAGTGTAGACACTGGGGCCATTCCTGGTGTTTTTTCCCTGCAGGGCTCCAGCTCTCCCCATCCCAGGAGGCTCCCTGCCAAGATGGCATCGGCTGGAGACCCCCCGACAGGCCAGCGAGATGCTGCGGACCAGAACTTCGACTACATGTTCAAGCTGCTGCTCATCGGCAACAGCAGCGTGGGCAAGACGTCCTTCCTGTTCCGATACGCCGACGACTCCTTCACGCCTGCCTTTGTCAGCACCGTGGGCATCGACTTCAAGGTCAAGACAGTCTACCGCCACGACAAGAGGATCAAGCTGCAGATCTGGGTGGGCCAGGCGGCTGTCTATGGGTCTGCCGGCCCAGATAGGGGCTGGGGTTCCTCTGGGGAAGCTCAGGCAAGGGTGTAGGGCTGTAGGGAGGGGTCCTGGGTCAGAAACAGTGATCCAGAGTTGGGGAGAGGGCTTGGGATAGGTGTGAAGAATAGCAGGGGTATTATCCATGAAGTGAATTCATCATGATGAGGGGGATTTACCCTGCCTTCTAGAGTCTGAGGGGGATACAGTACTAAGCCAAGCCAGATTAGAAGATCTGTTGACGAATGGGTAAGAGGTTTGGGTACCCTGTTGGGACAGGCCCAGAGGCTCCCACTGAGCTTCTTCAGAGTCATGGTTATGCTCCCAAAGCACCTGCTAGTAATGATTGTCATGGTAACGAGCATCAGACTGTCTGCATCAAGGTGGTACCCTCTTGTTGAGGTGGTTGTTTGTGGTCATGAAGTTGGTTCTTGGAGATGAGGTCAGAGGGGTCTTATAAGTCTTTGTGAGGCCACCGACCCCTCACACTGGGAACCCCTCAAGGACAGGGTACATATCCCCTCCATCAGACTAGAGCAGGCCCATATTTCTCCCCATTAAATCGGGGGCTGTGAGGGCAGGCCCATGTCCTGGTCATCAGACTGGGGCTGTGAGGCTGGGGTGCCCACCTGGAGAGGTAGGGTGGGGAATGGGGTGGCTTCTAGATGCCTGACCTCACTGTGTGCCCAGGACACGGCGGGCCAGGAGCGCTACCGTACCATCACCACAGCCTACTACCGCGGAGCCATGGGCTTCCTGCTCATGTATGACGTTGCCAACCAGGAGTCCTTTGCTGCAGTGCAGGACTGGTGAGTGCTTGCTGACCACTGACCCCCTGACCTTCACCCTCTCTCCCTGACCCTAATCTCTGGCCTAACATAGCCCTCCAACTCCACAGGGCCACGCAGATCAAGACCTACTCCTGGGACAATGCTCAGGTCATCCTCGTGGGGAACAAGTGTGACCTGGAGGATGAGCGTGTCGTGCCCACCGAGGAAGGCCGGAGGCTCGCCGACGACCTTGGTCAGTGCCCAACCTGGGCTACAGGCCCTGGACCTCCCGAACCAAACCTCCATCCCTATGCTTGAGTCCCAGGTCCAACCACAGTCACCAATACTTTGCCCTTTGAAGGTCTGCCCAGAAAAATACCTGCATGTATACCAGCTGCTACATTTAATTCCTTTACTGCCCCACTGCCCTGGGAACCCAAACTCAGCAAAACCATTTCTGGGAATTTATCCTACAAACACCTGCACCCATGTGGAAAGTGACAGGTGTGTTACATTACAGCACAGTTAGTAGGAGGGAAAGCTTGGCAGCTTCCCAAGTCTCTCACAGTGGGGGAAGCAGCTACACATAAAATATAGTCACATGGGGGGATACTATGCAGCTGTGAAAAAGGATCAGGCCATTCTTTATGTTCTGCAGTCTGTGGATATATGGGTAAGGGGAAAAAGCAAACTACAGTAGGTATGGCTGCTTCTTTTAGTCCAGGGATCAGCAAACATTTTCCTTTTTTGGCTATACAGTGAAGCTTGTGGGATCTTAGTTCCCCAACCAGGGATTGAACCCATGCTCCCTGCAGTGGAAGCGAGGGGCCCTAACTACTGGACTGCCAGGGAAGTCCCGTGCCAACATTTTCTTAAAGGGCCAAATAGGAAATATTTTCAGTCCTGGGGTCTAACTGCTCAGCTGTGCCTGAAAGCATCCTTGGATAATACATCAATGAATGAGTGTGACTGTCTGCCAGTAAAACTTTAATTACACAAATAGGCAACAGCACCTGAAACTAACAAGATAACATGATATGATAAATCAGCTATGTACATGCATGCTCAGTCGATCAGTCATGTCCGACTCTGCGACCCCACATACTGTAGCCCTCCATTCTCCTCTGTCCGTGGAATTTTCCGGACAAGAATACTGGAGTGGGTTGCCATTTCCTTCTACAGAGGATCTTCCCAACCCAGGGATCAAACTTGTGTCTCCTGCCTTAGCAGGCAGAGTCTTTACCACTGAGCCACCAAGAAGGCCCAATGTACTTAAATTTAGTCCTTAAATAAATACTTAAATTAAAAAGAAAATAGGCAACAAGTCAGAATAGGCAACAAACTGGCCTGCAGCTTGCCAACCCCTGCATTAGTTTTTAAAAAGGGTGAGAATAAGGATGTATATTGATATTTGCTTAAAGGAACTCTGGAAGGATGCAGAAGGATCTAGTAATCATGGTGACCTGGTATGCTACCAGGGTTGAAGGGGAACTTTTCAGCCTACCTTTGTGAATCAGGTGAATGCATTACTGATTCAAAGTTTAAGCTAAAAGAAAATCTTGTCCTGGAGTATTCTAGGCCCTCCCCAGCACTTTCTGTGCAGAGGGAATATAACCCCTGTGCAGGGAGGGCGGGTTACGGACTGAGACTCTGGAGCTAGAATCCCCTCCTGCAGTCCACTAACTGTGATCTTGGGCACCTCACTTGCCCTCTCTGCTTCCATTGCTCTATCTAGGAAACGGGTAAAAACCTCATCTACCTCATAGGGCTGTTAGATTAAATAAGCAAATCCTGGCCCTGATTGAACATTAACTCAGGTTATTTCTTGATGGCTTTGTGATCTCACACCGGTGACTTTAGCTCTCTGGGCCAGCACTTCCTCATGTGTGAAAGGCAGATAATAACAGCCCCACCTGGTTAGGTTGTCAGGAGGGTTCAATGAGTTATGACGCGTGAAGCAGTTCTAACAGAATCCTGCATACGTGTAGGTCATCTAAGTGTTAGCTAGCATGATTGTGAAGTGTTGCTGATGTTTGTACCTAAAACCTAAGATTTACTGTCTGACCCTTTGCAGAGAAAGTTTGCAGACCCCTGGACCATAACTGTCCCATCTTTCTTTTCCCTGTTTTTTTCTTGCCATCATTTGTTGGAGAAACCGGGGCTTTGTTCTGTGGAACGTCTCCCGTTTGGGGTTTGACTCTGTTCCTTCATGCTGCCATTTTACCTGCTCCTCTCTCCCCTGTGTTTTAGGAACGTGAACCTGGGTCTCATTTACAGATATGCTGGCAGTCAGCTGTTGGGGCCCTGCCATAGGCTGGAATACTTGAGGATGCTGCCCACACCTTTTTTGTTGTTGTTGGCTGCAACACACGGGATGGGGGACCTTAGTTCCCTGACCAGGGATTAAACCCTTGCCCCTTGCCATGGCCTTGCAGAGTCTTAACCACTGGAACACCAGGGAAGTTCCCTGCCCACACCTTCTTGTGGAAAACATCTAGTTACTGAGGGTGAGGGGCAGATTCCCGCTCTGCCATTAAATTTAAAATATCAGACAACAAATTGGGAGATGGATTTGGACCCCAATTTTGTAAGAAAAAAATCCACACGTGTGCACACATACTCCTACCCACTACAAACCGAACCCCAACAATTATGTATTTTTTTTAAAGTGGAAAGCTAAATGTCAAAACATCAATTGTAGTTGTTTCTGGGTGATAAGATTACATACAACATTTTTAGCTGTCTTGATATTTTTCAGTAGTTTCTCCAGGGAATATTTATAATCAAAAGAAAAAACATGTTTAAAAAAAACAAACTGGGACTTCACTGGTGGTCCAGTAGTTAAGGCTCCTCACTTCAACTGCAGGAGGCGTGGGTTCAATTCCCTGGTTGGGGAATTAAGATCCTGTTGTGTGGGGCAGCCGAAAATTAAGTCTTAAGAAAAGAAGAAAAACTCATATTATTTGAGGCAGAGATGGACATAATTAATGAAATGCCAAATTTGCCTAGGAAGACAGTGGGGGTGACATTGATGATCACCAGGCTCAGAATAGAGAACTATGTTCGTGCCCTGCCTCTGTCACCCACCCATTCATCCATCTATTCATCTATTCATCCATCCACTCATCCATCCATCTATACATCTATCTATTCATTCATATATCCATCTCTCCATCCATCCATCTACCTATCCATCCATCTATACACTCATCTGTACATCCATCCATTCATCCTCCCATCTACCCATTTACTCATCCATCCATCCACCTGTACATCCATCCATCTAAATATACATTATTCATCCATATATCCCTCTACCCACTCATCCATCCATCCATCTGATCAATCATTCAGTCAGTAGTTTCTGAGCACTTGCCCTGTGCCAGGCCCTGGGCTGTAGTTGTGGACAAGGCAGATAGACCTCCTGCCCTCTTGGTGTGGGTGTTCTAATAGTGGAGACATAGATGGATAATTATACATTTACTAATTACAATGATATTTTGACAAGGGCTAGAATAGACGTCTGTTTACCATGTGCTGTGTGTAATAGAGTGGACATTTGTCTGAATTTCTGGCCTACCTTGGGAATGGCAGATGGGGACACACCGGGGACCATAGCTCCCAGCAGTGGAACCTGAACCAGGGTGCAGGGTGCAGGAAGGACAGTTATGTGCACCCTTATTTGCAGGTTGCTGGGCCACTTCCTGTAGCCCAGGAACTCTGGGCAAGTCCCCAAAGCATTTGTACCACCTCTCACCTTTTGCTAAGTGGATAAACATTTTTTTTTTTTATGCTTTGTTGGGTCTCGTTGCAGTGCTGGGTTTTCTCTAGTTGCAGAGCATGGGCATAGTAGTTCCAGCACTCAGGCTTAGTTGCCCCGAGGCATGTGGGATCTTAGTTCCCCAATCAGGGATCAAACCTACATCCCCTGCATTGGAAATCAGATTCTTACCCACTGGACCACAAGGGAAGTTCCTAAACATTTTTTTTTTTTAAGAGAATAATTTATCATGATCCCTGTGATGCTAAAAGTCTATTCAAATCTGCTTCACCCTCCCCCTCCCCAAAAGGAATCAGCCAGCCTGCCCTCCCTCCTGAGGCCCAAGGTGGTACAGGAGAAATGTTTAATCTATTATTATTTCAACCAGGCACCCTGAGTGTGTTAACCTATGTGAATTTACATGAGTGACTTTCCTGCTGTGTGCCTCAAGTTTTCCCATCTGTAAAATGGGCTGTAATAGCATAGGGCATTCCCTAGCAGTCAGGTGGTTGGGGCTCCACCCTTCCACTGTAGGGGGCATGGATCCAATCCCTGATCAGGTAACTAGGATCCCAGAAGCTGCATGGCCCAGCTCCCCCCACAAAAAGTATCTACCTCAGACTGAGTGACTGCGCATGCATAGAGCCTCCTTAAATGAGTTAATTTACGTAAAGTTCTTAGAAAAGTGCCTGTCACATAGTAAGCATTGTGTAAGCACTGCCTGTTATTATTATTACTGTTTTTATTGCACGCTGTAGGCCAGGAACTGCGTACATTGCTCTCTAAAACTCTGTGAAACCTGTCATTATCTGGCTGACAGAGGTTACAAACTGGGTACCCCTGAACTGAAGCCAGTCCTGTTTTATTTGACCTGGAGCATATGTTCCAGAACATGTGAAATACTTGGCTGTGCTTAAAAGGTCTACATAAATATTGGGCTTTGTGGGCACCCTGTGCAGCAGAAATTGGATAGAGGATGAGTGCCACTTAACTGGCGGTAAGACTCTTGCCACCACTGCCTTGTAACAAAGAGATATGCAAGGTAGTCCCGGCAAGCGCTGCTGTCACACATTTTTATCAGCATCAGCAGCATCATTGTTCCCATTTTACAGAAGAGCAAACTGAGGCTTAGAAAGACTAAGACTCTCAGTCAAGGTCCCCCAGCTGCACAAGGTCAGAACTGGGCTTGGAACCCAGGTTCGTGTGATGCCATAGTCCAGGCTCTGACCCCCCCAGGGTTTCACAGATCTTCCTATCTTTTTTTTTTTAATAAGCCATTTATTATTTTTAACCCCCCTCCCCCCAACATGTAGGATATTAGTTTCCAAACCAGGGATTGAACCTGTGCCTCCTGCAGTGGAAGCACGGAGTCTTAACCACTGGACCGCCAGGGAATTCCCAGATCTTCCTATCTTATATTCCTCCAGGTTTTGAGTTCTTCGAAGCCAGCGCCAAGGAGAACATCAACGTGAAGCAGGTCTTCGAGCGCCTGGTGGACGTCATCTGCGAGAAGATGAATGAGTCCCTGGAACCCAGCTCTAGCCCTGGCAGCAATGGGAAAGGCCCGGCCTTGGGGGACACCCCAGCCCCGCAGCCCAGCAGCTGTCCCTGCTAGAGATGACTCCACCACCCCATTCCCTCCTGCCTCGGCAGAGACTGTAACTGAGGCATGAGCCACAAGGGCTGTTTCCAAGCTCAGGGCACCCCCCCCGCTTCCCATCGGTCGCCCCCACTCCCGCATGGCGCGTTCTCTGGCCATGGCCACCAGCCTGCCCAAGCAGCCCCTGTCTCAGGCTCCAGACCCTGCAGTGCGGGCAGGGTCTGGGGTAGGGGCGTGCATGAGCTTCTTGCTTCCTGGCGTTGTCATGGTGATAGTGGGCACGCACACGGGGCGTCCCACTCCGCCTGGTGAAGGGGCAACCGCCATGCCTTATGGGTTAGAACCACTTACCCGCATCCGTTTCGAGCTGGGCATTGTTTTTTAGTTCGCGTGCTGACCAGAGATGGTTCTTCTTACTCGTGCAGTTGGGGTAGGGGTGGGGAGTTCGTGGGAGGGATCTCAGAATTCATCCCTGGAGATGTGGAAGGCAGCTCCTTTCTCAGGATTGCCCAGTCTGCCTGTGAACCAGGGTGGTGGTTTTGCATCTCCCAGACCCCTCCCGTCTGACCTGCAGATCTACCTGTGAAAGCAGTATTATAGCGGCTTTTCCCAGAGTGCTCCCTACCCCCACCAGCGGCTTCAGGAACCCCAGAAGTGCCTTCTGAGCTTCCCCAGAATTTGCTCGACCCTGCCACTGTTACAGTTGACCCATTGCATTCCCGATCCAGAATAGAATTCTGGAAACTATGGGCTGCTCCGGGCCAGGCAGAATCATGCATTCCTGCTGAGGACTTTTTACCAGGAGTTAATTCAGAGTTAGAAGCTTAGGCTCTCCTGTCCCGACCTGCCTTCCACGGGCCCTGTTTGGCTGGTAATGTTTTAAGCAAGGTCTTTCCACATCCCATATCCTGCTCGAAAAGGAAATTGAGCAATATTCCTGTAGTGTAGCCTGCACTGCCTGGCAGCTCTCCACGTGAGGACATCGGCTCCTCCCACTTGAAAAACCTTGAAGACAGCGCTGACTTCCCGAGCCATGTTATCTCTGGGATCTAATGATGTTCTCTGCTAATGGAGGAACCATAGGAAAGAACGCTTTGGGGTTTGGCTGGAGGGGCAGTAGGGAAGGCAGGGCTGGGTAATGGCTGTTGCTACTTGCATTTCCCAGATGCCGCTTGGGAGTGGCAGACTGAAGGCAGAAGAATGGAGAACCAGTCCCCCTGGTTGATTGAGGCACTAGTGGGGAACCCACTAGGTTGGGTGTCCCCAGCTACCAGGGGCTCCTGCTGGGAGGTGATCATTTTGACACTTTCCTGGCCCCATCAGCTCAGTGGTGCTTCCTGCCCACCTGAATCCAACCGTGGTGACACAGTACCTCTTTCTACCCTGGAACACTGATACCCCAGAACTTAACAGACACTGTGAGGACAGCCAAAGTATCTGATTTGTCCAGTCTCCCAGCCCCTGCTGCCAAGATGATTTTCTGTAGCCTTGAAGATCTCTGCTACTTCCTACCAGGAATGGGGAAGGTCTGGGTCAAGTTTAGCATGATTCTTACCTTTACAGAAGCTGGAGATTAAATTTGTTTCTAGAGGGCCCTGTTCACCCCAAACCAGGGACTGCCCTTAGAGCATCAAAAGTGGGGATGTTTTTGTACACCAACAAACTAGACTGCGATGAAAAGGACAAGTTCTTGGAAATACACCACATGAGACTTATCAGGAGGTTTGGGGCAGGGGAGTCTAAAACGTTTGTTGCTTTAACATAAAAGAGAAATTAAAGCAGCTAGAAAAAGGCTTCTTAAGACACACCATGGCCTGTCAAGATTCCCTTTGCCTGTCCAATTTCCTTAAACTGCCAGAAAAAAAATGTTCAGTCAGAGTGTCACTGTCTAGGGGACCAGCTGACTTGTGTGATGGCCTGTGTGATAAAAGACAGTTTTGGCTGCATCTTGTACCTGACCTGGCCTAAGATTTCTGTTTACACAAGACTTTTCAGCAGTTCAACTCCAAGTTGCCATTGAGACAGCTGTCACTCTTGAGGGTTTTCTCAAGCCTGGGAATGATGTAGGAGAATTTTTCTTGTTTGGTCTAAAAATGGTGTTAAGTTTTTATCTTATGATGTTTTGGGGGGAGGTTTAACTCCTGACTGTCTGGAAAACAAACTGATGTCCTCAAAGATCACTGGGAGGGAATGGAGGTTTGTTGAGTTTACAAATAAAAATTAAGCCAAAGGCTGTGGGAAGACAGCTTTCTAGTGCCAGGGAGGCTGGGATCTGGGGAGGTGACTTGAGGCTGTATCCTGTATCCCCACTGTGCCTTCATATTTTTTGCTTTCAACTTGTCTTTCCAATGTCAGCAGGAAATTGCTATGATTGCCTTTTGGGGTTTGAGGCTATGTTTGTTTTGCTTTTCTCTCTTTGGCTTCTCCGGGGATCATTTTCTTGAGTGTTTCTCTCCCAACTCCATTGAAAACAAAACAAGGGGTGAAATTTGATCTCAGTGTTGAAGTGCTAATTCCAATAAGTGACTTCTCCTCTGTGATCCAAAAACACACCAGGAGAGAGCTCTAGACCTGATCGTTTATATTTCTGGGTGTGGTTCTCCTTGGTGTAAGCCATTCTTGGATGTTCACTGTTAAAGATGTGCACTTTTCTTGAGAAAATAAAAAATTAAAGTTGTTATGCCCAGATGCTGTGGTTCTTTTCTTTCCATTAGTGAAATGGAGTTTCCAGGAAGAGGGCAGTTGAATCACAGCCAAGTGGAGAGTTGGTTAAGGGCTGTGTGTGATGCTGCAGAACCTGAATCAGGACAGGGAGGCTCATGTCTGGGGCTGATCTCTGGTGACCTCCATGGTGGCTCAGATGGTAAAGAACTTTCCTGCAGTGCAGGAGACCTGGGTTTGATCCCTGGGTTGGGAAGATCCCCTGGAGAAGGAAATGGCAACCCACTCCAGTATTCTTGCCTGGAGAATTCCACGGACAGAAGAGCCTGGCCGGCTACAGTCCATGGGGTCGTGAAGAGTTGGACACAACCGCTAACACTTTCTTGTCACTTTCCAGGGGTCTCAGCCTGCAGCGGCTTGAATCAGGGCTTCATTTCCTGGCCGGAGATTGAGGCTGGACCTTAACAGTGAGAACAACAAATCCTAGCTACTAGACCAGTGGTCAGTGACAAGGCCCTGGCTCTTCTGCTTTGCAGAGAAGAATTTGCACAAAGACATAAGGTAGTGAAACAAGTGAAGTGTTTATTAGGTGGAAAAAGAGCACAGGTAGACAGATGTGAAACCCTTAGGCGTCATTTCCAGGGCTCTGAAGAACTCTGACACCACAGTTCTTTATGTCTCAGCACAGACGGGAATTCAGCGAGGGGCGAAGTGATAGATGTACGCTTTCCAGGGTGGTGCTGGTGGTAAAGAACCTGCCTGCCAATGTGGGAGACATAAGGGACACAGGTTTGATCCCTGACCTGGGTTTGACCCCTGGTTCGGGAAGATCCCCTGGAGAAGGGCATGGCAACCCACCCCAGTATTCTTGCTTGGAAAATCCCATGGACAGAGGAGGCTACAGTCTATGGCAGGCTACAGCCGCTAGGGTCGCAGAGTTGGACAGGACTGAATCGACTTAGCATGCATGCAAAGTGATGATAAAAAGTGATTTCTTAGAAAGGGACGCTTGTAAGGTTCGCAAGTGGGCAGTGCAATGCTTGCATGCCCCCGGTACTCAGTAAGTTACATTTTTATAGTCAGAGGAAGAGAGTGGGAGGGGAGAAAATCTTATTTGTCTTTCTTGAAAGACATCATGTTTTCCATCATCAGTTCTTCCCCCAGGTAGAGCAGGGTGGTTTACTTGTCCCTCCCTATATGGTCAGGCCAGGACCATCACAGCACTTTTGAAAAATATTTTCAGGTCTCAGTACAATGAAGTTCTTTCATTTTGAAAAGTCACCTTCCCATAAATAATAGTTTTTTGTGTCCACAGAGCCTGTTTGTGGAGTCATTAACTTAATGACACCACTGGGCAGATCGTAGGCCTTATTTTCTACTGTTGTTTTATTGTTTGGGGGGGCATGGTGCAAAGAACACATCTTAGGGGCCAGATAGCATATTTTGGGGGTTCCTAACTCAATGAGCTCACTGGGCAGGATGTGGGTCTCATGCCACCATTGTTTTATTGCTTCGGCGCATGCCCCATCCTTGTGTTGCATGGTTTTGTTGTTAAGCAAGTTAGCATGCTTTTATCATTAAGCAAGCCAATCTGACTTTGATGCTAAGAGACCTGTTTTGCTATATAAGTCAGGCAGGCCCACCTTGTTTCAGAATTTTCCCATTACTTTCTTGAGTGATCATTAATCTCATTAATGGGGTTTCCAAGCTAACTTTTTTTTTTTTCCCCAAGCTAACTATTTGATCATCCTCTTTTGTCCCTATCAGACACACAGGCGAGATCAGCGTCACGCCCTCGTGGTAGTCTGAATCACTTTTACGGTACATTTCTTCCTGATTTACTTTCGTCAGTCACCTTGCTTTGCCTGGTTCTGAGCCCGTATTTGGTTTATCTTAGGCTCCTCCCAGGGTTTCCCTGATAGCTCAGTTGGTAAAGAATCCGCCTGCAATGCAGAGACCCTGGTTCGATTCCTAGGGTGGGAAGATCCCCTGAAGAAGGTAAGGGCTACCCACTCCAGTATTCTGGCCTAGAGAATTCCATGGACTGTATAGTCCCTGCGGTTGCAAAGAGTCGGACATGATTGAGGGACTCTCACTTTCACTTCACTTTCAGGCTCCTCCCAAGTGTGCATGCACCTCTCTTGGCCAAGACGGATTTCAGCAAACAGGCCTGTGGGTAGGTTGACATCATGTACTATAAGGTGACACCCCCTCTATTTTGACCTCCAAGGAGCCTTTCTGCGCATGTGTAGTCAGGCTCTCTTTAACTTCAAGAATGAGGAATAAATGGTCTTTACTGTCTTATCTGGCTAGGGCCCAGCCTCCTCCATCATCTTGCTTTTATGGAGTTTCTGCTACTGTGAAGTGAAATGTTTCTTGTCATATCAGTGGGGCAAGAAATATCACAGCTATCTGTGATTTCGGCCCTCCAAATGTGAATTTCTGAATTCAGAAAGTACTCCCTACAGGAGGAACTTAGTCACAGTCATCAGTGATTACAGCCCTCTGGTGTGAGCTGGGGGGCCCTAAAGGAATTCAAGAGAGAGAAGAATACCTCTGTAAAAATGCAGTATGCTGGCCCTAGGTAGCTGAGATGCATATGAAAGAAATGACTTCAGTAATCCCAAACTCTTGCATCTTCCCATATATGAAAGTGAAGGTTGCATAGGAGAGTGCTACACTCCTTAACTTGCTAACTGGTTTTCCTTAACAATAATCTTTGATGTTCAGATTGCCTGCCCCCTTTGTTGCAAACTTCTTTACAGCCTGACTCCCTCTCCCACCTCCTTGGAACCATTTCTCAGGGCTACTGAGATGCTATCTCCTGGGCTCAGAGTCCTAAGCATTTCCACCAAATAAAACATTCTCTACTTTCAACTTGTGATTAATTTTTTAGTCGACACTATTATGGACTTTCTGTACACAGGGGAGAACTTCTTCACCCCAGGGCCCATCTATCTCCTGCCTCAGGACCTCATGGTCACCACCTTGGTATAGAGGGTAAGAAGGACAATGCCCCGTGGCTCAGCAGTAAAGCCTGTAATGCAAGAGATCCGGGGTTCAATTCCTGGGTCAGGAAGATCCCCTGGAGGGTGGCATGGCAACCCACTCCAGTACG